TCTTTATTTAGTCTTTGTCTATTATCGGGGCACAGTAATTTCTTTATTTGGTCTTTGTCTATAATCGGGGCACAGTATTTTCTTTATTTGGTCTTTGTTTATAACCAGCGGGTGTGTAATTTCTTAATGTAACACCATCGATATCACGTGAAGTCACGGGCGTGCATTTATAGAGGGTGTGCATTTATGGAGGGTGCATTTATGGAGGGTTCACTGTATATACATTATAAATATTAGATCCAATTTTAATCGAATTGGAGTCTGGCTCATCCGTTTTTACGTAATTTTTTTTGCGTATCTTAGCAAAGATTAACGTTCATATTCTCCTTTCTGAGCTTAGTGATGTATGCTTGTGTAATTTATTCATTATTTGCTCTGCAAAGCGACTTACGTCGCCTCGAGATCACGTAAATTCGTTCTTAAACTCATGATTTAAATATAACAATTTCAAGTGCTGCCTTTTTGAGACCTGCAATAAAATCACAATAGACCGATTTGTAACTCGTTTCAGCTGGTAAGAGCATAAGCGATAAGTAATGCGATTGACATTTCTACCAGGACTTGGTAGTCCATGAATTTCCGCATAGTTTTCTTCACGGCAGTTATATCAATGGTTATTTTGTTTGGTTTTCCATCGCGGCACTCGTTTTATGTTACCATGAACACGCGGTATTATACCATTCGTCTTTAAATGATTTCTGACGTTTTCGAAGTGAGTGCGACCAATTCTTAACATATTGAGATACGTTTTCTGACAAAGGAGCGTATTGCGATCTCAATAATAAAATGTCCTCTTATTAGTACGCGTTTTCTTTTTAAGACGTTGACTGGCAGTTATTTTTCCACCATTCATTGTTTTCAACTGGCCATTAAAATTATATCTTGTTCAGATCTAGAGAGGGCTTGAAACGCCTAACGTAATTCGGCAAACTCTTTTCTTTTTTTTTTTGATGCGCAATTTTTTTCATAACATAGTGTATATTAATTTTTCATCACTTCATTATATATTATCGTTGGTTCCTTTTTTTAGTTAGTTTTCACTATTATGCAACTACCTTTCCTATACTATTCCTGTTAAGTACACACCAATTTTTTTAGAGTTCATTTTATTGGATATCATGCCACTATATTTCATCTGATTAGAATAAACTACATGTCAATGTGAATGTAGCTAACTCAAGCGGCGCCGCTTTGGATAGTTGAAATCATCAATACCAACTCCATTAGGGAAATATTGCATTCGATTAAGAATGTCTGAATACACTTTCATTTCTGGAATCTCTTTGATGAGATGTTCTGCTGAATCAAAAGGCCTCTTGCACACAATGTTATGAGCAAGATTATGTGGAAATTTATGCTTTGCAACCAAAGTTGCAGCAGAGGCAAAGTTTGGATTGTTATTCTTCATATTTGATAAAACAACACGGGCACTAAATGGATCACCAAAGTAATCAGAAAAGTTCTCCTGGCAGATCAGCAAGCAATCCTTAGGGATCTCTCTGCAATCTCCCTTGAATTCTGAAGTGGCAAGCACTATAGTGACAAGACGATACCATTGCAGGTTGTTGCAGAGTGGGGAATTCTCGATGGCATGTAGGTTTTTGTCATGTTCTTCTCTAATGTTCTCAACAGTGATAGGTTGGAACCAGTCCTTTGATTGCAGCATGGCAATGATGTCCTTCTTGTTGTTGTTGAAGCTTGTCTGCTGGTGCTTTGATGTGATGCTCCTGGTTTTTTGCATGTTTATGTTGTCTTCCACCTTGTCAGAAATGAGTTTGTGATAGACTTCACTCTCTTTGTCATTGCGACTAGTGTTTTCCACATAAAAGAAGATGTCTGCAAATGAGGCTCCATCTGCATTGACTACCACAAGGCCATGCCGCCAATCCACTTTTTCTGCATCAATTGTTAGTGGATGGACTGGAAAACGGTGTTCAGCATGGATTAATTGCAGCTTGCGGAGCCTGATGGGTAATTTCAAGGTTTCCAGCTGACCATAAGCCCCATGAAAGAATTCTCCAAGAGTCATTTCCACTTGGCCAAGTTCAGTAATTATCTCAGTGCGATAAACTGCATACTCAGCACAAATAATCTCCCAGTCTTGCCATCGTCCAGTCCAGCTTGATACAAATGTGTTTTGTAGAGTGTCCTTGACATCACAAAGGGCTTTGTTATACAAATAGAGAAAAAGAAATGGAATTCGAACTTGTACTTTGTTGTCATCTTGGTGCTCATTGCAATTTTCTAGGATTGTATGCATCTCACTCTCTAGCTCCTCAAAAGTTCTCAAGGGTGAGCTGTTTGGTACAGTGTCCTCTCTTCTTGATGGGGTTCTGCTGATGCATCGATGAATAAGCTCAATGACAAGCTGGCGATTCTTCAGTGCAAAGTTTTCTATATGATACTGACTGTTGAGCCTTGTTGCCACATCTCGGAAGATCTCATCCTTACTTGCATAATCTTTGATCTCTTTAAGGAATTCTTGAGCTCGTTGAAATCCTTCACCAAAACAGCGCTCCAGCAAAAACTGCATCGCACGTGGCAGACCACCTGTATCTGACAGCAGTTCATATATCCAAAAACACAGTACCCATAAAGAATCCTCAACCTTAACATGCTCCTTCATAAAGTACCTCATGATGTCAAAGCAAGATTTCATGGACAGCATCGGACAGTTGAGAGGGACAATTGAGTAAGATGTAGGCTTTGTTGATTCAATTATGTTTGTCCGTGCTGTTCCGGAGATAAAAGTTTGTACAAAATCATATTGAGAAATGCCAATCATGTAAGATCCAAGCAAAGCCATCATGTCTTTGAACAAAGATAGACCACTTTGGGTTGGAGGTGGTATTCCAGGGAGAGTTGTGCCTTCTTGAACTATGGGTTTCAGTCTTTCAGGAATACCATCCCAATGTGAGCTGAAGATCAACTGGATCTCATCCAAGTGAAGAAACAGAGACAGGTACTGATTGTCTGGCAGGTGCAGATCATCACGAATACCACTGATAACATTAGCAAACTTAAAGAAGTCCTTGTATTTGAGGGCTTGGTGGCAGAAATTCTTAAAGTCTAATGTGTAACTATGGTAAACAAAGAAGATGAAGGCAATTCGAAGAGCAAGAATAGTTCCTGCATCCAGTCCACGTTCTTCCTCTGGATCCCACATTACATTACTGAAGTCAACAAGGAGATATTCAAAGTGAGGTGTGAGATCATGCTGCCTCCATGCTGAGTCTTTTCTTTCATTTTGATGGTTTTGAGTGCATGAAATAGTTCTCTCCCATACCGCGTTTTCCCTAAAACATTGATTATCAATTAGTATTAGGATAAATCCCCATAGCAGGCATATTCAAAAACTTGATTGCTACCAATGCCAGCTGTTCCGCTGCACAAAAGGAAACGTTGATTGGCCTTGGGAACTGATGTTTCTTTTGTCCCGCTCAACGAATTTCGCACATTGCTGTTGACAATTTCCATAGCCCTTTCTAGCACCACGTCACGGTCTTTCAAAGGCATACATGTGGTAACAGTCTTGGATGTGAAATTTGATGGTGGAACTGAGCGAGCATTCTTCAAAATTTCTTTCATAACCTCATTGAATGATTTAGGTGCTGGACACATAACCATAGAAGAAAGAGAAAAGAAGAAAAAAGGTACATTACAAAAAAAAGCATTATTATTATTATGGAATAGGTCAACATCTGTTCTCTATTCTTTTGACTGTGCTCTCAATAAGTGTGATACTGCTCTATGACCCTGAATATATTATATATGTAGAAAACCAACACATAGAATGCATGTGACAACAGCATTCAAACATTTTCTCTCCATTAATGCATATTTGTAATGCATTCCAACTATTCTCTCTCCATTACTGCTCTACAAACCCTGCAATGTCTCTACAATCCAGCTCTGCCCCAACTAGCACTTTGCACCCTGAAGGGTAATGCCCAATTGCCTCTCTTGCAATATAGCACAAAACCAGTAACAGTATTCAAACTCTTCTCCCCGTTGCTTACCATGTGTTTTGCGGTATTCTTCTCTTGCCTGCTTTACAGTTGCTTCGGGAAAGTCTTCTTCATATTTAGTCATAAACGTATCGTAGTCCATGTTTTTCGTGTGATTTAGTGAAAGAAAGATAAAAGAAGAAACGCGATCTGCGCCCGCCCAACTCAGCCCTGTTTATACGTTTTACTTACACAAACATGTGATACTTCTCCGTATTGAAGTGCCGAATGCGTTGGGTCCAGCCCTTGGCAAATAGATCAGGAACCCTCCATGCCTTTGTTACGGTCGGGAATTTAAATGGGGTTTTTGGGAGAGCGATTTATCTTTTTGTGTAGGTGTGTTCGCCGACCGGGGGATGTTACCAGGCTTAGC